TGGTTAAATTTTATAATTAATACTACTGACTGATCTTAGTCAAACAACCACTGGAAATATAAATTGTATTTTCAGCTTAGGTTTATACCAACTGACTAACCATTAAAAACTACAGTGCACTGAATAACTATTTTATTCCAGTTTGGAACTGTCTGTCAATGGACACATAACCATATATAACATTATGCCCAATAAAATCTTGTATTTCCTGAGTTCTTTCCAATGTAGACTGATAAGAAATCTCTTAATTAAGACGAGACAGAGTTTTCTGATTCTCAATGTTCGTTCTAGCTCATATCACTCTCTAATAAAATGAGTATTTTGATTGTATATTTATTATATCAATTCTTCAGTAAGTAGCTTATTATCCTAAAAACATAACAATCATATCCACGATCGTTGTTATTTTAGTACATTAAACTAAGGTCATAAATCAATTACTTTAAAACTTCATCACACCGATCCAAGTTTATTTTCAATATAGAAGAAAGAATAGCATATTACTAGAATTATAATGCTCACTCCAGAAATTTGATATATATATATATATATATATATATATATATATATATATATATACTTTGAGTATTTGACTACCAATGAGTAACATTTTGTCCGACTCAGTGAACGCTTAGAATAGAATACCAGAATAAATAATAAAACATGATTTGTTATATCTTATCATTGATTAAATCTTTCGCCTAGAAAAATTTGAAAATATCCGATTAATTAGTAATTAACCACCGTAAACTATGCATTAGATCTAAACTGATCTATCTATTAGTTATTGGGAACTTGATTTAATAATTTGTACCAAATATAAATCTTAAAGTCACCTGATATAAGTGTTTGTGACGAAAAAAGAATACTATATTCAATCGAAATTAGTTGTAAATAGTGAGGTAATACGCACTTTATTATGAGTGTGTTTGTTTGTTTTTTCATTATTGATGAGTGAATAAGACGAGATTTATAATCGACTAAATTTAATGTCTTTTAATGTTTCCTAACTATGCGTTTAATAGATCTTATCATTTTGTGAAAACTATACTCAGAAAAGTAATTGGATTTTGAAATTGAATCATAAGACTTTTTCAATACAGCGATTTTCGAGATAGTTTTTTTTTTATTTTTCGAACATTTTTTCACTTCATTTATCTTATTAGCTTCACTTATTTGAACCAGTTAGTGTATATCTCTGATGAGATCCTAAGATCACTTTAATGTGCCGTTAAAACAATCGAATTTATCAGCTAATAAACGGTTGAAAACTATAGAGAAAGATATTGTTTCTTAGAAATAATCAATAAATCAACTTAAACATTACCATGAATGTACTGTTTCATTCAGTAGCTGAATCGAAATCCAGAGTTTTGAATGCTAGATGTTCTTATTCTGTAAATAATTAGGTAGGTTTAAATAAAAACGTTTTTCATGTCTTCAGTAAAAGCAGTTTATTTCTCATGCTTTTGATTGACGTGGAAAACCAGGAGACAAATCAAAAATTTCCGTTTACAAGCATCTTTTACTACTGATTAGATTAAAGTCAAATTTACATAACGAAAATTCAAATTAACATTAGAAGAAATTAGCTATTCAGTTAAACATATCTCAGGCATCACAATCTCAAGAATTAAGTTTACTTTCACTTAATACCAGTGACACATTTACTACGAAAGTAAGTAAATCTGAAATTGGGTAACCTTTCTCCGTCTAGTAGTGAATGGTGTCTGAATAAAACGTTTTGTTGATGGAATTTTTCTATTTTGAAAACTAATTTACAAATAATTATGATTGTATCATGTGACTAGACATAAATCAACTCACATGTTAACTGATTATGTAAAATTTTCAACTTTTCTTGATTACATTTTCACATATACAGCCAGCTAACTGACCTAACGAGTAGCAAATAGTATTTTTTAATATAAACAAAGACGGATAGTGGCTAGAAGTGGAATCCATAACGCGCGTTTAGTCCTATTCGAGACTCGTCAGCTGGATATACCTGCATCCCAGAGTTGATATTCACTCTGGGACTCGAACCCAGTACAGTTCGCTTCAAACGCTATCGAGTTATCCGCTTACCAAGTGAGTCCCGATAGCTGCTTGCTTGTACAATGGGGTGGAATTTTAAATTCACTTGTTATTGTTTACTTTTAATGTTTGCGAATTAAGACAATATCGAGGCAGTGTGCATAGTATGCAAATATGCCAATTACAGACTGATCGATTGCAGTCCTAAACATGAAAGGGAAGATACATTTAATAACGTGATTTATTACTAACTTAGGGCACTATGGTAAGGTTTAATAAACATTTAAGGAAGTTAAAATAGGTACAGAATAATCTGATGATATCTAAAAAGTTAAATTATTTGCTTGACTGATTATTAACAGAAATAAATGTAATAATTTGGAGAGAGTGAGATGATATTTTAACATAACCCATAAATAGTAAGTGCACTTTAGGGAAGATTTATTAGCTGAAATGGAAACAGTGGTGAAAACTGCTTCAATAAATAAAGCGTTTCGGTTGGCCTACATAATCAGTTTATTTAAAGAAGGTATAAAAGTGATTTATAACTTTAAGACTATGGTTTAATGTGGAATTCGATCTATTAAGACAATCTGTCCTTTAGAAAACGATGTAAATCAATGGAGTAAACTTACGATGAATTTCAAGTTGGATTGCAGAATCAGTCAAAGAATCACCCATTTTCACATTTCATTAAAAAGCAAGTAATGGCTTATCTCAACAGTTAACAAGATTCTGATACCTTCCAACAAATTATTATTTAATCTATTGACAAATTGTCTTTATTCATTTAATCAATAAACTTTTAAGCTTTATGCTTGCTAGATACATAGAACACCCACAGACCACTGAAGCACAATCTATTTTTCGATCTTTTCACAACTTCAAAGCTTCCTGATTATACACTAGTGTTATAACCCAACGACAATAATGAATGGTAACTGTTGGGATTTATTTATGGACTAATACTGTGGTGTGTGCTACTTATATTGACATAAGTAGTATATGATGTTAGTCGTCAACAGAAGGTCTGGCAGCAGAGGGACAAAAGGATCGAGCAGTAAAGAATGGAAACAGAATGCAATTTGCATGAAAATGCAAGAACAATGAAGTCTGAGTCATTTTGAGACAATTGGTGGACATTTTGCAAATTAAGCATTTATTATATGATTGTTAGTTTTTATTAACATGTCCTGTAATTTTGCATCAAGTACATTCAATTGTCCTCACTGGTGTTCTTGTCTGCCACAGTACCATGTTTTTTGTTGTATAATTGTTAAGTAACTAAACTACGCGTTTAGATTCCCCTTGTCATAAGCTTTATTTCGACTTATAGAGTATTATTACATGATTTGCCATTCCTAAGTTATGTCCAGTTTGTTAATTACAATCTCCCACAATCACAGCCACTTTTGGTTAAATCTTGTACAAACGTTATTTTCTATTTTATGGTATGATGTGATCTGTTTGGTTTGTATATAAACCCAGTATGTATGAAATACATTATTCATATCGCGGAGGTTGAAATATGTGTTCTGGACTCAACAGGCAGAGCTAGGTAGGAAGAAAGACCGATAAGGACTCTAGACTGCTCGTACTGGTTTATGCATCATTGGTCCAGTCGATAGGTCACTGTTGTCTAATTGGCAGTACCATTACGTTATGCATTAATGGAGCACAAGGCCACAAGTTATAACATATACGTTATATCATTTTGTGACAAAAACTATTTTTAGATAATGTACATTATCAAAAGACCAGTAGTCAACAAGATCATCTTAGTATTTTTTCATGTAGCGATCACAAAGACAGTAAATCTATTCTACTCATTTCAAAGTATGTCGATAGATGGGACCATTTTGTGTCCAAATACATAGTTTATAATCATTTGGTTAGCATCTATATCAAACTTTTAACTGATAACAACACCCACACAGATTTTTGTTGGATGAAATACTGTATAAAGTGCCAAGTTCTTGCCATTCGTGACGCGTTTCAAAATGTTGCCTGTGAAAATTATCTGCTGAAGCTGATAGATTTGACACTGCAAATATCCTTCATTGAAATTTTTTTCAGTGTGAAAACCATTATTGATAATTATTGTTTCGTTCTGCAACAATGCGGTGCATTTGTTTTTCTTTGAGCTTCATTTTCGCTCATTTTTCGATTTTTACTTTTCTTTTCACTCTTCTGTAATCATAACTGTTCAATTCAATAAAATAATCACTTTCTCAAACATTAATGTGACATGATCAGCGTGAACAAAGATTTTGAAAAGCAAAATCCTCATCAGTAACATTCACTAAATCAGATGTTCTGGCTGATTTTACTGTCTTTGTGCGAATTCAGTCAAATCTACTAATTTTTGCAAAAAGATTATGACTATGAAGCATCAAGTGAAGTATCGAAACCTACTTACACAATCTTATGCATAGCGTTCATTTGGTTAAGAGCTTTTATTTTCTTGGGATAAGTCTTATTCAAGCTACACGTCTGATATTACTGCGGAAACACGAAAACGATATAAGATGAAATAGATTCAAAATGAAGAGTATTTTCAATAAAATAGGTTTGAAATAATACTTAGAAATTAATACGATTTGCTTTTTGTAACATTAGTTTGTGACATTTAAATGACCATTCCCCGTTCATGATAATGCAAGGGACAGATAAGGATTTATAAGTGCTCTACATCTATTTCATACCGCTGGTGTGAGTGATATTTGTCTTGTCTGACTTGTCTTTCATATATAGAAGAAATCTGTATAATTCATGGCCTAAATACAGCAGCCGATATAGTTTAAATATCTGCCTGATACTTTATTCACTGGATCAGAGTGATAAACAAATAAACATATGTTCCTGTCTGGAATAGGGCTTACTGTCTTTTTAATCTGAAATAAAAACAGTTAATAATTGATAGCCTATACAACACTTGTTAAAACTGTTAATAACTATTTTAGAGTATGGAAATGATTTTCGTCAAAGACTCACATCAACTGAAGACATGTAATTCTCAAGTCCCCTCATATTTGGAACTATGTAACTACTATATATTGAGAACCACAATTCTTTATCAAAATTTTGTATCAGACAAACGATATAGAATCAAATTATTTATTCTAACGCTTACCGAGTTATTGCTTATTGAGAAGTATACTGTTGCAGCCAAGTTTCACAAAATTTGAGTCCCAGGTAAAAATATAAAAATAACTAATGGATACTATTATTTACTCAAGGATATTCTTCACCACATCAGTGACGGAAAACCTTATTTACAACCGTGGTCGTTAACCTGGAACACTCTGAACACTCTGAAAATAATGGAACATTTACGCATTACACATACATTGATGTAAATTTCAGTATATCTTGAAAATGTATTTGATTAATTGTTAAGAAACAGGATACAAAAAGTGAACTTATGTATATAAAGACTGATACTATCATACACATATAAAACTAAACTTATAAGCAGTTTACAACGAATAAACATCAATGTTCTAATGAAAAGCCGTGACCAGTGGCGTTCAACCGTATCTGAAATCAGGCAGTTACTCACCGAAGACAGTGGTGGATGGTCGCGCAATATCGTGGATTGGTTAACGTCAAATAATAGCACCGATGGTTGGTTTAAAGGTTAAGAGTTCTCATGTGAGAGCGAAGGTCCTGGGCTCGAGTCCTGCTTGCGGGGTCGTGGATGCACACTGCTGAGAAATGCCATACTGGGAAGAAACGGTCGTTCACTGCTTCCATACTTTCGATGATGGTCTAATATTGATCCATTCATGATATCAATCTAAACTTAACAATCTCCACAACCCTATACTGATAAATGCACATATCTCTCGGAACAACTAACCAGTAGAACATAAAAATATATTTGAAGCTATTTTCCATAGTCCATATAAAAATATCTATTCTTTTCAGTTTTCACAAATTAATTTTTGATGTATGGTTGTGACGTTCTATTCGAATGAGAGTCAATTGGACAGTTTTATTAATCGTAACTAAAATACAAGATTGATTGTTTTGGAAAACCTTTGTTCTTGTGAAAGAAACGTTTGATATTTATATGAGTATGGGTAATTAATATCGAAAAGTGAGAAAGAGTAGGATTCATTTTTCCTTCGTTTTTAATTTAGTTAATAACACATTAATATTTTCAAGATTGTAGAAGTAGTTTTTAACAGTTGGTAAATAGCTTTACAGTAATCCTCACCATTTTACTTAATTTATTTGACAGATATAGTGTTAGTTCTATAAGAATCTTCTGACCAGTTGGGCAGTTGAAACAAGTTTCATTTGTAATGTTCGAAGATAAGTGCAAACCTTCTTCAACTCAATAAACTATCAGTTCACTTTCGTTTGAGTGTATTGTACAATAAAATGAAATCATTGATTGAATCAGTAAAAAACCAGGAAGCATTAGACATTTGTTAGATTTTAGTTCATAACTACACTACTCTGTACACAAATAACACGACATCAGATCAGTTAGGCAGTTTTGCGATTCGCACTGTTTATAGTACCGTAGATATCATGCAGATAGAATAAGGTATTCTATGTTTCTCACTTCCAATAGATTTTTCTATAGAGTAACTCCTATACAATATGATTTATTTCTATTTATAAACACAAATTATCTTTGCAAACTATTTTTAATTTCAGATGGGTTTTGTGGATATTATAGTAATTTCAATGGTTAAGATCATAAGTCATTTGAAGCTAGACCACCATGGAAAACCTGGAAGCACTGAACGACCGTTTCGTTCATGATACTTTTATTAATTGTAGTGAAACACAAATTCTTATTGTCAGACATAATTCCAAATATATAATCTCAACCCTAAGGTTTTTTAAATTTGGTAACACTGGTCCTTTGGTATATATCCTACCCTAATTATTGTATAGATATTCAGACAACCATAGTGTATTGCTCCACTATGTATACGTAATATGAAATATTTCCCCGTTACAAGTTGTCACGAACCATAATCTGAGTAAATGCCTCATTGTTAAAACAAATTCAACATAATAGGAAACTTCAGAATGACAAATAGACAACTGTGTCATAAAATGTCATACCACATCCACAGGAAAATATGCCTTGTTTTACTCTTATTATCAACAGAAAGGATGAATTCCAAATGTATTAGAATATAAACGAGTATTTTCTGAACTCATTGAATGCGGGGTCAATGATCTAAAGGTGAACTGCTCACAACGATACCTGAAAGTCTTGGGTTCAGTCCTCAATGGAGTCATTGATTGGAGCTGCTGAAGTGCCTCCTACTAAAGAGAAACAGTTGTTCGTTTCTTCAATTTTTTCATTATTGTTTAACTAAGGTCGGATTATAATCTCAGTAATATTCACTAATCTTCGCATGCTTCCATACCGATAAGTAGGCAGGCGTAACTTATCTTGATACATATTTTTGAGTAAAGAAACCGATCTTCAGCTGACATTGTTTTAACCACACCTAGTATAATGGCTACTAGAACTTTAAGACATATCCTCAAAATGCGTCCAAAAATCATGTACCACTTAAGTTTCATTAGTTTCATATAAAAAGCAAGCATTTATCGCTATCCATGTATAGATACATTTGGTTGCCCATAACAAAGTCATGTTTCAACTTGTACCAGCCAGCTTTCGAAAGAATAATGAAAATATCAGCACGAGAAACAGTATTACAGAAGGCAGTTTTCTAAAACTGGTTCTTGGTGAAATAAATCCAAAAAGACTATGGTAACAGAACTAAAATGGATTCTGTGGAAAAAATATACATTGTTGTTTACTTATCAGAACAACTAGAAGTTATTTTTTGTATTTCTGCTACAGATGTCTCTGGAAAAGAAATTTCATACAACCACACTGTCTAACTCTAACAACCGGCAAGATCGTTTTCATCAGTAAGGGGGAAAATAGCATTCTCTGTCTGTTTGTATCAACGAATATCAAAAAAATTAAAAAATCTCTCAGCAGCTGAATAACGAACCTAAGTGTTCGTCATTTTTGTCGACGTAAAAAATAATACATATAAACGTACAGTACAAAACACTAACAGTACTGTGAAAAATGTAATTACTGTCGTAATTGTTATCAACTTTGGTGGGACTATAATCTATGGACGACTTTTGATCAACGTTAAAGTGACCTTGAGAATATTCACCTACTTACTAAGGTTAAATGAGTGCTATAAAGCAGTGTGAAGAATAAGGATTATGATTTACAGTTGATGGTTAGGGTTAGGAATTAGATTTATGGTTTTCATCACGAACTGACATCAGCTTAAATGCCAAAACGCTATTTAGACAAATGGGTGGATGAATTTTCGAGACCTGTTATCCCAAATCTGATTGGTTCATCCATAAATTATAGTCTTATCGACAATATTATCATTTTGAGTGAGTACAATTTAGGCTAACACTTGGTATTCAGTCGGTTGACATTTGAGATGCTATTACATAACATACGACTTATCAAAACATGTTGTAGTTGGATAAGCTAAAACGTAACCAAAAACACAGCTTTAAGAACTATTAGAGAACTTTCTTCTCTTTTCAACTTTTCACTATTACATTCAATAGGTAAGACTTCAACGCTTTCAATAAATTACTGGAATTAGTAATTGCACGCATACGATTCATGTCTGTTTTAATAGCATAAGTTACTAAAATTCATTCAGTTCAAACTTTAAGTGTAGTCGTTTTAAATTGCATTGAATTAAGTCATTACCAGACTAAACCAGTGTGATTTTTCAGTCAACTATCAATTCCAATTTGTTTGATAATTTAATAACCTTATCCCATACTGACTACCAGTGATCATGTAGATAAATATATTGTGTTACTGTTATGCAATACTGATTGTTGTCATAAATTCAGCTAATATCTTATAGTAATAATAAGTTAATGGGGAAAAAATAACGAATCAATTGAAAGAATTCATATACCAGATTATTTTATTTACACTTCAACTTAATTCTGTTAAGCTGTTTAAATATTTACTTAACTAAACAAAAACGACACCAAATAACATAAACAATTCTTGATAATAAGTATAAGTTTTTGTTCTTTCCCAATGAGTAGAAAAATTATATTCCTGACGTTTTGTCACTTAGTGTGAGCCACTTCTTCAGAGTAAATAAATAACCGAATTAATTTAACACAAGTTTGGATAATACAAAGAAAACAATGTTCAATTTAATTGAAACTATCAAGTCTAACCTTGGGATTGATGCCTGTAAACAATTTCTGCCTTCTAAATAAGTTTTATTTAATCAAATGTTTATGTACTATTAATGTAATGAACGAAGACTTGGACAGGAAAAATAACCTCAAAAATTACACAGTATCTTAATAAAATATGAAAACAATGAATCAAAATTACTATTCGCACATTGTTCTTGGATTGTCTCTTACATCGTTCTTTTATTCCTGTTGTTACTTTGATTGCTTTCTGTCTTGCTTTCACTTCTCTTCGTTTCGCTCTCCATTCAGTAAGAATTCTACTTCCAATGCCTGCCAAATACTTTCTAAATCGTCCATATAAGTAGCATACACCACCGTAACACATAACTGTTAGTAAGAATTACACTAACCAAAAAAAACATTTTACTTCTTTTGAGTAAAGTGTGAGTGTTTTTTTTTACTAATCACTTATGAACTGCATTGTCTGTATTTGTACGCAAAATTAAAATGATTGTGAATAACATACATAGTAAATAGCTTTAATAAATATGCTTTATAGACAGATAACTACTATTATTAATTCAATGAGCACACACACTGTCCGTTTAAAACTCAACCTCCACTGTTATTCGTGGCAGTAGAGAGAGTACTATTTATTTTCATCAAAAAATAACTCACTGGGAAATTCTTGTATCTTTGAAAATATTTCTTTTCAGTTGTACCAAAATAAATCTAATTAGTTAGGATTAGGTTAACTCAAATAATTTATGTTGTAATGTGAATTATTCCTAAACAAACTTATATCTAAACCAGTATGAAAAGTTCTTGTCTAGTTTTCTAGACATATTACATTATTTAACAAATAGTAGACACTTTCAAAGTATCGACTAAATATCTTATTGAATAGAAATTTATCATCTCGTTCAGAAAATAATTTTATATTTCATGTAGCTATGACAACTCTAGAAGTATTAGTTACCAAAAGAACCCATCATTTTGTTCTCTGAACTTCTCTGTTTCCGGGTTTAATACGTATAACAAGAATCAAACAGTACTGTTGTGACAAAAGTTGATAATTTAGGAGAAGCATATATAAACACATGATAAATTGAAAGATAACGGCCGCCATTTGGTGTTATCAGCTAAGAACTATTATAATAATTCATTGTCATGAGTGAAACTTTAAGAAAATAACGTGAAAAAGATAACAATATAAAAGAATGAAATAAAACAGAAAAATGTTATATTCTCAGTTCCCAAGCAGATATCATGGAATTGATCAATTTTTAAAAAACGTATCTACCAAATGTATACTACAGAAACAGTAAGTATTATGGAGTACAGAATACATGTCCCATTCTATTTCTATACTCTTATTTCACGTCTCTTATTAATAAGGTAACTAATCTACCATTGGTTTAAAATCCATTGAAACATCTTTTCTTTTTAAATCTAACTTATCCATCTCATAAAATGAAAATAAAATCGAGGAGAAAATAGTGTAGCAAGTATAATAATTTCGTATTTGCTAAATTCACTTTCATAAATATAACTTGGTAAATGTATGATAATATGACTATACTATACCAAAATTACAGTTCATAATGGAGATTTACGACGCAATAGAATTACAAGTATGGGAAAGATATGCAATACGAATTAGAAATGGTACAATTATTTCATAAAGGATTTTTTAAGCAATACAACGAGAGAAATGAAGGTTAATTATGAGCATGTTTTGATTATTTCTTTGTTTACTAGTAAGAACTTTATAGTCATTTTATCTCAACACATGATATTCCTCTTTACTTAAGTTTATTCATTTGAAATTTTTGGCGATTAGTTTCATGAGAAAATTACCGATTAATTATCTTCGATCATTCCAGTATTTTATTAACTGATTGAGTCATTGTAGGGAAACATATTAACGAAATTTGTCATTGTACCATATATATTTAATGCTTTTGAAAAGCATATCAATCACTCGAAATAAGGGGTCATTAGTTTGTTAGCGTTAGCTGATAGATAAATATTATAACTCGTAAGATGACTTATATAATTCGATCACCATACATGGTTTGACACAATAATATTGCTCCCTTGTAACTAATCAACTATTAGAAGAATTCTAATCTTATAAGAGGTTTCTCATACCCTAAATAGCTTATCAGTAGCATTTCTCAACGTGAAACTTAGTGGTAGACTTGAATCACGTAATGTTAAATTGTTTTCAGTTTACTTGTTTATTTTTCACCATAGATTTTGTCTATTGAATTATGCCCTGATAATTTAAATAAATCCATTTGTTTCGCCGATATTGACTACTAACTAGAACTTGTATTCCTAATATATTTAGCTAGTTATTAACTTCAAATAACTGAAATGTTACTTCCAGCATGTATTTTGACAAACCAAACATTTATTAATCAATATGCAGTAAATAAGTACTTATTGAAATCTAATTTGTATCACAATTAATGAATCTATCATTATTAATTTTCGAGTTATAAGACCTATTCTCTGAAAGTGGTAACATATGAAGTAACAATGGTATGTATATACACAGAAATTTTATATATCTTAGAACGTATCGTAATTCATGATACACAAAAAGAGTATTAAGAACTTAATTAATTATAATATGTTTTCACTTAAAATATCTAATGTAAACATAACGATATGTATCACAGGAAAAAAGAGACGAGCAATAAACGCATCCACATCATTTGTGTTTCAGATAAATGATTAAAGTAGGAAGTCAACAGATTGTTTAGTAAGCGGATTTTATGATTGACTCTGTCTAATAATTAAACATGTTTGTATAGATCATGTCATCATTTCCTAAGAAATATATCCGTGTGAAAAATGACTACACAGTAAACCAATAGAATATCGCTTAATTACTTCAACAAAGGATCACAAATATTTTCATAGAGCCTAATATTTCGGTCTATATAAGAGTACAAGGAAAAAGTGATCTAAGAATGCGTATGATAGAATTTTTCATTCTAAACAGTTAGTTCTTAAGAATAGTTCAAACAGTACTAGAAAGCTGTTAAGTAATGAAATTCATATTACTTAGTGTCTGCAATAAGCACTTATTATCAATACTTTTGTTAAATGGCATTGCAGTCCTAGACACTTTTGGAGTCAATGTCATTTTTTAAGTCTCTTTTCCTTTACATAGTATAATTATTCAACGTAGACGATTATGAAACTACAGAAGTAAATGATCTATTGCTACAAATTATCATTAATTATTATTATAAACATCTAGACTCATAGAAATGTGGATTTAATCAGTTGTCATGACCATAGACATAAAATTTTAAAGGATTGCAAGGTAAAGCACGATACTTGACCGGTTTTCCTTGGTTGGTAACCTAAATTCAGGCCATGAATAAAGCTAGCTACTTACATTCCTTTTTCCATCAAACAAATCGTGTTTGTTTGTATGAAGCAATGGTACTTTCAATAATAACTTATTTACTACACTGACTATATCCCCAGATTATATGAACATATGAATATACACCACATGATGTGGATGTCCACATAAGTTATCGCGTCAATATTTATTTTGTATTAATACTTGACTGTTTGTATTATCATTACATCAACATCAAATTCTGTATTCATTTAAAACACGTATCCAAAAAGTAGTTTTATGTGTAACTTGATCTTCTATTTTAAAGATAGTGTTTAACTTGTTATATATCTTGGTTGCTAACTCAACTTTACTTCATTTTTATTAAGTGGATGTTCCCATCTAAAAAGCCCTCACATTATCCGAGATAATTCATTCTATTTACCCGCATAAAATAACCCAAGTATTCCCGTTAGTGGGTTAGTTCATTCTCTCGTGAATTTCAGAAACACCTCTTACTGCGCATTACCATATTTCGTATTATTTCCACGAAGTGAAGCCGACGTTAGAATCTGCAGAACGAATATAAAGGTTTTATTTACGGAACTTGGTGAAGTCTAATTCAAAACGGATTTAATTGGGCTTTCGATATCCATTAAGAGACAATGGCATATAAATATCCTTTGGAGACCTGCTACCATGGGAATGAACCTTCTGAAATCCATCCACCGAAAAATGGATTAAACTATTAGGTTGACTGCAGTAATATGCGTCAATTATTTGTAACTAGACACTAGGACAATGTCAAACCACATACAAGTTATGACAGTCGTGAGCAAATAATGTGGAGGATTCCGAACACAAAGACATGTTATACATCGAATCACCCAGTTAGAATCAAGTTTATTTTCAATTATGATATCAATGCCCTCTAATCAGACATGGTTTCGCTTTGACCTAACTTTCCTCAGAGGCTTGTATGTCGGAAGTTCTATCCTCTTTAAGCAATCTTAGGGTGCTAAATAGTTGCTTCTAAAAAATATCACTGATTAGGGATCATGGTTTCACGTTTATAGTAAATCATTCTTTATGACTCACATTTAGTGTCACTCATCGTGTCAAACCAATTTTCTAATCCATTTCAATGGCATAAAATCACTTGGCACTGAATATTCATCAACTTGACATTTCTAATTCACCTCAGCTTCTTGTCAATGATAGCGCCTTAGTTCTTCTTTAGTGGCACAAAAATGTGGTAAATTGAACTAATAAACTATGTGTTAGGTTCCACACTGTTGTCTCTATCTATGGTCATTTCGCAAGATACAACCTCATACTGTCTACTTCCTAAGTACTGTTAATTGAATTCTATCCAACATTTCATTTTTCGACAAGAAATCAGAGTGAACCATCTCTATGCTTCCTAAAGATATATTTGAACTCGAATTTTGTGAGTGTTTGTGGAATTAAACAGGCCGTATGTATAACTTCGAAATTCGAAGTTGCATTGTGCCTAATGGTGTGATCAAAGGAATCGAAACGGGCTGTCAGAATTATTAATTGTCACTAGAGTTAATGATGGATTTTGTCCCAACGTTACGTAACAGTTGATATTCTTACTTTTAAAAAAATACGACTTAAAGCAAACTGTATTTGCGCAAGAAGTTCCTTGTGAAAATAAGACAAGAGATCAGACTGAAAATTATTTCTAATGAAAAGAACAAAGCAAGTAATAAACAACATAAGTGAAATTGAAAGCACTGTTAAACATTAAAAGAAGAATTATGAACAAGAATTTTTCAAATGTTCAGGTGTGTATCCAACACCATTGCACGATATGACTGAAGATCCATCATTCGTGATTACTTCGAATTTAACCTGCATATAAACAAAATACATTTTGAACATTAAGTACAGAAATATAAATATGGATAACAAAGTCGCCGGGATAACAAAATACAAGCTCTTAGGCAAACTGGATTATCTTAAAATAGGTACGATGATATTAATATCAGTACTTAGGAATCGAGATCTTGGACGAGGGTTTTGTAAGTCAGAAATGATGACGCAATTAGAATTTAGTCGAAACTGAAGCATTATATTTCAGTTAGCCATTCCAGAGTAGAATTGTATTTCATCCTGTTTGAGAATAATAAATTATTACAAGAAGTTGTAGTAAGTATTACCTGACCAGCAAACGAATGAAATTCTATAAAATAAGATCTATGAATAAAAATTTCTCGTGATAATGGCAAAATTTACTTGATTAGCAATAGTTTAATTGGAATAACCACTGTTATGCTTTAAGACAGTGCAACTATTAATGGCATTCTAGTCAAAATAAAAAATTAAAGTAGTCACCATCAATTGTCTAGATAAATGCCTGAATACCGGGGTTAAATATTGGCCAACAAACGAAAGTTACACTATTAGCTTTAAATTTGAAAGTTTTAGGCATATTATTCACAATACAGTCCCTTTTTTGAAAACTTAGAAATTTACCAGTTAATACGTATGGAAAAAACTTCACAATATCTTAAATGAAAAGTAATAGATTGACGTGATCTTTCGAAAACGATGTAGTTTATATCTATATATTAATTGAAAAGTTTATTGGTGAAAGTTAACCGAAACTCACCGAACGGGCTTAAAGGTGATATTTTTGTCTAGTTCCTTTCTACTGTCAAAATAAATGGGCCATAAGTTTATGGTCTGTTTGTTAAGATATCTTTATATGGCTATGGGTAAAAAAGTATATTCCACTCCACATCAAGCTAATAATGCTGTATTTATGTAAGACAGATCCAAACAGACGATTACTGGTATTGTATTCTAAGTCCAAACACCGTCCTACCTACTTCATCGTCATGGGTTCCTGAATAGTAATGCTAGTTTACTCTCATTCAAAGTGTCAATCAAAATTTAGGCTTGTCAACGTTCAAAATTAATGTTATATTTAATTAGCCAACTGATACAAGTCATAATCATAAGTGTATTATAAAAATAAAAGTACTTACAGTGAATACATATTCATCAACGAAATGAGTATTAAAAGCAAGCTTTACATAATTAATGTGCAGTACTACTAAATAACTTACACCAAGTAAGTGTTCTGCAACATATATTGCAGTCTTTGTATGTAATGTCAACGGCCCGCAACGTATTTGTGAATTTCCCTTAGCTAATGCCATAAGCATTATAAGCTAAAACAAAGTAAGACAATTAAACTAATACATCCACATCAATAATGAGAAATAATAAATTTAGCACGTTATCCTAATTCTTGTAATGAACAGCCAACCATTTTGTGTGAAATTTTTAGATTCGATTAATTTTATTAATAAAATAGTGCACTCGCAATCAAAATATTCAAAAATCATCATTTACCTCTTTTATTGAACAGATTTTTCTATTTCGTTTCAGTCGGTCAGTTAGTACGTAGAGCACATATAAATCGATTCAAGCTGCCATACCCTATTAGCACAGAGATAAAATTGTCAGGCCAAATCTCAGAATAGTAGAGGTAATAGTAACAGTATCAGTTGTAATAGTAATGATTAGGCATGGAAGATACGATTCGAGAAAATACAAATTAGTAAGACAAAAAACGTTGGGGAATTTAGAATTTGGGGGAAGATAAAGAACGGATGTACCTGGGTCCCTGCAAACGGTTTCGATCCATACCACTCAGTCTCTAACCATTGGTTATGATAATCACGCGGACTCCAACCAGGTATTCAACACCTATTAACATGGCTTAATCCAACTCTCAGTGACTTCATAGACTGTTGACATGTTTTGGTTTTGCCTCCCCTAGCTTTCTTCCAGCATACTACTACGCCAGACAAAAAACGCCCGTCAAGGTAGGCGAAAGTTGAGCATATGAAGACTTACTGGCTTAGCAAGCGATTTGCCGTCTTCACACAGTACTCTATTCCTAAACCAGGTATTGTTTACTCCGCGGTTCCAAAATACACAAGTAGTGCTTCGAAGGCACCTATGGTTGAATACTATGAGCCTGTGAATATCCTTAATTCTTTATAGCCATGTTTCATAACCATAAAGTAGAACAGGAAAAACTGACAGGTAGTAAACTTGTTCTTTGGTTGGTACACGAATATTTCCCCTACACCACAAGGTTGACAAAAGCCAATCGAGTCTTCTAAATCCGTGACGAGATTTCGTCAGACAACAGACCATCAGCATTGATGAGACTCCCACAGTAAGTGAAACGGTCGATACATTCAACTACTTCCCTCCCTATCATCAATTTAAGCGCTAACGCGGGTCAATCCTGAAGCAACACTTTGCATTTGGAGGGATAGAGTAGCATCCTGAACATGCTAGTATTCTTGCCTAAAATGGTCAGAAAACTATTTCTTTGATGTCTTGATCAAATAGAACTATATATTCTGCGTATTTTAAGTCAACAAGTGAATCTCCTGGTAGATCAACTCCAAAATTCAGACGATAAATGTTTTCTCTAAAAGCATGTACATGACACAATTAGGTAAAAATAAGGAATGTGGACAGCATTGACGAACACCATTTGAAGCAACCAATTCTGACAACAGTTCGCCATAAGCTCTGACTCGATCAGTAGTGTTCGAGTAAAGAGCCTGTACAAAGTTGATGTACTTCTTCGGTACGCCTTTCAATGATAGACTGCCACAGAACCTCCCAATCAAGTGTCGAACCTTATATTAACGTCGAGGAATACAAATACTGTCAGATGTCAAAAAGTATGTTTATATTCCAGAATCTGCTGAAGCGTGAATATTTGGTCCATACATTAAAGTCCACGTCTGAAACCAGCCTGATTTTCTTGGGTTTGCTATTTATGAGCTTTATTTAGGCGTCGAAGTATTATTGAAGCCAATATTTTATACACTATTAGCTAAACTAATTCCTCTGTGATTGTCATAAGGAGATTTTCGTCCTTTCAGAGATCGAGACCAGTCAGATGAGATTATGTTTAGATTTCAGATTCTAGCTAGGATTTCAGTTAATCTGACTGCTAAAACTGGACCATCATCCTCTCAGGGGTTAGTCCATAAGACTCTGATGCCCCCCCTCACTTTAGATATCCTGTAGCCTTTGCAACCCTACTAAGAGTTGGAGGACATATATCAATTTGTCATTCCTATTGCTCGGAGATAGTCGGTGACTGAAGTATGGCTGAAGGCCAGTTGAACCATTCCCTAAAGTGTTCAGCCCATAGGTCCAATCTCCATGGTTAAGAGTGAATAATTCCATGTTTTTCCGAGGTACTTTTACTAACAGACCGATTTTTAATATTGTTTCCTTGATAAATCTGAACAGTTGTCTATTGTTACCTATCGCTGCTAACTTTTTCATCTCTTCTGCTTTCACTGCTCACCACGACTCATTCAATTGGCAATGAAACAACAGGAAAACACCGTTACACAACCGACGACTTGAAAGTAAGTACAATCACACTAAAAATATCTCGAAGCCTTTGTTTTTTACAATACATGTTACACATACAAACTTTAACCAAATGTATCAATGGTGTCAAGTGGATTTATGAATATGGCACTAGATGTTAACCAACGGAGTTCATATTTGCCGTACTAGCGCCAGAGCTTCATTGTCGATTGAAATTATTGTGACCCTTTCAAAGAATAATTCACTACATAGGTATCTATGTCAAAGTTGAAATTGATAGTTTCAAAAAAAAATTGAGCATTGGGTAGAAAGTTAATAATAAATATATTTTTGTTCTATCCCAATAAGTAGAAAAGTTTCGTGACTAAATGTAAGCCACTTCTTCAGAGTCAATAAATAGCCGTATTAAATTGACATAAAATATATTTATTGATAATTTACTACAGATATAAATTCTATTATAGCTCAGATATAGAAATATCGAAATAATGATAAACCTATCTGAAGAACTTTATTGATAGAATGCATATTATTCACCATTAGAATCAGTATTGACTTGATGTTAGAATACATAGTCAGTAACCCTAACAGTACATAAGATATTCTGTGTTTTATATATGAAGTTGGACTTAGGTGAGAACGAATTTGTTGTCAAAAATCAAAAAGCGTCAGTAGTGTTAACAGAATAGATGATTCTGATGTTTATGTATGATAAACACACCTGATCTTGCATATAATCGTCACAACATATTCCAAATTTGGAATAGTTATAAAGTGACTGACAGGCTTCTGAGACCATTTGCCTATAATGATGATCTCGAGGATTAATAATTCCAGTAACGGCCAGACGGCAATCTGTTGAAGTATGCATAACGAACCTAGTGTAGACAGACAAAATTTTACATGAATACAAAACAAATGTACCTTAACGCTTGCACATATACACATCCTATAAGGACTAACAACTTATCTTGTGCTATGTGCTGAGTACAGAAGAATCTGTTAGGATTGACCTTTCTGTTTAACTATCAGTATAGGGTTATGGAGATAGTTGTGCTGTAATTAAAATCATGAACTGATTAATGTTATATAACTACTGGGAACCTGGAAGCACTAGACAGGCGTCTTGTCCTAGTATAGGACTCATCAGAGGTGCCTACGATTCTGTATATGGGACTCGAACCCAGGACTTCTGGTCTCTAGACTACTGAGTGGACATCCGACGGCGTTAATGTCTAATTTCAATCAATCTATGATATTGAGCGACCACCTCTCTGTTTAAGATCAGATATATTAACGTTAAAACCAAACTGCTTTCTGATATTCATATTGACATTAAATGACTAAGTACCCTCCAATTTGTATCTATAAAGTGCTGTCTTGAATTCATTTGGACGAATTTGAGAAATGCATTAATAATCGGGTTTACTCTAGCGTAATATAAGTTCACATTATACTCCAGGTTGAAATCAACGATGCAACTTGCTGACGATTGCCAAATAAATTGAACCCTGGGTTTACGGTTCTCTGTTGATTACTTCCAACCACCTAACGACAAAACATAGTTCACACAATGCGGAGTAGTCAATGAGACTAGTGATCACACTGCAATCTGATCGATAGAATGCGATCAGCACTAAAAGACAAGATAAATATGACACTGGTCAGCAATCAGTCGTCGATCAATGGTGAAAATGTGTCATTGTCACGGATCAGTTGCTGCTCGGGTAACTCAGTAGTAACACCTCAGACTGAGTTGGGTGACGTAGGACCAGACCTGCCGGGCAGCACAATCCTTCCAAAGACTACAGGTACATTCCGTTGACGAGTGCCAAGTAGCATGAAACTTTTAAGTAGGGCTTCCTGCCAACTACCTCTAACCACACAACAACTTTGTTGAAAAATTAGTATGTTTTGAAATGATCAGATCAGCAATTTCATCGAAAATTCACCTCCAATCACTGAAAAGCACTTTTCATGTTCTTTGTTTCTACGACTAAATGAGGCACCGAAAATCAAAATTGAGATATAATTACTAAACTGAAACTAAAGAATAAAACAACCAGATTTATTAGAAGTATTTCAGCACCAAACATGTTGGATCTATGTAGTTTACTAAACGTGAGATATACACGATGTCTTATCCGACAGACACAATCGACATTCAGCCTGGGAACGATGTGTATTTGATCAGGTTGCTATACCTAATTAGCATGAGATGGAAATAAAGGGATTGAAATAAAGTAGTAGCAATGATAGGAAGTCTAAACTTCAGGAATATAATTCGGGAAGATAGAGTAAAGAGTATACCTGGAGAAATACTGGAATTTTATATCGAGAAGATAGAGTGAATGTGCCGTTGACAATGATTCTGATGTATCATCCAGTATCAAACCACTGACTGCGGTCATAGCGGGTACCCCAACCAAGTTGTATGCATCTACTTGCATGTCTCAGTGACCTTAGGAATTAATGACACGTTCCGATTTGGTCGCTCCTAGATATCTTCCAACATGCTTTTGAGCTAGCAACCATTGGTCATCGAGGTAGACGGTAGTTAGACATACTCGACATGTCGTAACCACCTTAGTCCCTGAAGAACCGATTTCCTACCTATACCGAATATCCTATACCTCACCTCAACATCGCACAATCAGTTGTTCAAACAACCTGAGCAACGTTCCAAACAAACCTGTGATCAAAAACCTTTAGCCTACACTTGCCTTCTACTTTCACAGACCACGTTTCACAGCCACAAAGTAGAGCACAGTAAATTGCTGCTCAGTATAACACCCTTTTGTTGGCAAACGCCAAAGGAACCCGCCGAGATTTTGTCAGATACCAACTTTTAAGGGCTGATCATACTTTCAAGATAAGTGAAGTGGTCGATATACTCAATTACTTCACTCATCATTGGCTCAGACGTTAACCTCGATCAGTCGTGAAACAAGATTTTCCATTTAGAAGAGGGGGATCGCATTTAGGACAAACTTGCGTTGTTCCTTAAAGGGTATTTAAAAGACTATACTTTGTCAGAGTCTTGGCCAAATAGGAATGAGTCGTCTATGTGCTTTATGTCTATAAGAAAACCTGGTAGGAGAATGATCCTTGAGAAGTTAGCAGGAAATGTTATTTCAAGGAGGATATCGATGATCAGATCAAACGAAATGGGACAGCCAGCAGCCTTAACGAAGATTAATTAAGGTGGGGAGTTCGCTCTAAGCTTTAACTCCCAGTCAGTCACTCCGTGGAACCTGGTACATATGTACTGCTCAGTGTGATAGATAAACGAACATACCAATGACAAAACTAACCCACCACCACCACATCAAAACTTTTTGACTTTGTATGACTATGCCTTGTTTATTAACCAATCATAATTTTTATGTTTATCACAAACGATATTAGGTTTGTTGACTCGTTTTCCCTATCCTCTTGGGACAGTCAGCTCTCCATCTCCAAATGCTTTCACATGGTCATGCATATACAGCCACTGCCTTCTTGTGTTGTTTACGAAATTGGGAGGACGAAAAGCGAATGTTCGGCGTTTTAACCGGGTTGGTGGATTATGGAGGACCCACCTACGGGAGTTAGAAAACTCTGCTTCCAAACCAATGGTGCACATGGGGTTCAGGATTCTCGGGGAACAAAGGGCGTATGAAACAATTATTGGTCACCGGCTACCATGGGACTGCATCAGACCTTTAGGTCGAAGGCTTCGGGTGTGGCCCCCTAAGAAAACCATCTGCTTCGGTCTGTGCACCCGGACAGTATCACAGCCCACATACAAATAAAGTGACTTGTGTGGCACATATGTATTCGGTGACCCTTTGTACCAATATTTGTGTCCAAATAAATAAATCCTCTGGCTACTGTTTGGTATGTTACTTAAGTCTCTTTTTCCATGTTTAATAGACTGTATTAATTATTTACTTTGTATACTGACAGTTAATTTACGTTTTAAAAACAGATCAAGTTTATCAAGCCAAATAGCTTACTTGTTTTGCTTTGGCTACGCTAGGATTCTGTGCTCGATAGTTTAGTGAATAGTTTAGAACTGCATCTGTAGGAAATTACTTGCTACATGTACAACGATCCAAGTTGCCATACCCCATTAGCACAGAGATAAAATTGTCAGGCCAAATCTCAGAATAGTAGAGGTAATAGTAACAGTATCAGTTGTAATAGTAATGATTAGGCATGGAAGATACGATTCGAGAAAATACAAATTAGTAAGACAAAAAACGTTGGGGAATTTAGAATTTGGGGAAGATAAAGAACGGATGTACCTGGGTCCCTGCAAACGGTTTCGATCCATACCACTCAGTCTCTAACCATTGGTTATGATAATCACGCGGACTCCAACCAGGTATTCAACACCTATTAACATGGCTTAATCCAACTCACAGTGACTTCATAGACTGTTGACATGTTTTGGTTTGGCCTCCCCTAGCTTTCTTCCAGCATACTACTACGCCAGACAAAAAACGCCCGTCAAGGTAGGCGAAAGTTGGGCATATGAAACACATGTCCCAGTCAAGAGTAGAATGCTGTGTTGAGGTCAGAAAATACCACTACAGTTGGGCATGTGTATGTCTACTATCAGGGTTTGCTGCTCTCTCTCGTTTCAAGATTACCTTTACTCTTTTCAATCCTCTTAAGATCTGGTGGACTTGAGTCAATTTCTCACTCAGTTTTTTTTGGGAACAGAAGCTAATTGACGAGAAATTTAGTTGTAGTTAGTGTTCGGGATATCGTTCTTAACTCCTAAATTGAGTGAATAATAGCCTTCTTCTTTTTTGAGATAGTCTCACTGACACATGCATTCCATACCTGTTTTCTTGATAAGTAAGCAGAGTTGTGTAGTGTTACTTATCGACTGTCTTTCCCATCCATCTTGGTTTTGTTGTCCAATACTCCTCAATATCGTTGCATAAACTTTTCCTTAGTTTATGCTTTAGTCTCTTTTGTTGTTAATCGCTCTCAGAGACTGTCGGGATCATTTATCGGACCTTTATCGATTCAGTGGATGTCATCAGAACTTAATGATTTTTAATAACCTTTTGGTTTAAATTGTTGAGATGTTATTACTGTTTTAACAGCTGCCTAGATAACTTTTTAGGCTTCTTCAAAGTAGTCTGTTTTATTACGATAGACTAAGTGGTTAGCCAAATTTTCCTCAAATGGATCATTGACCTTTTCATCTCTGAATCGATATCTAAGTGATTCTCCTGTTGTGAGTTTCTAATGTCTATTTCGATGTATAGAAATGCGTTCCATCATTAAGGTAAGAATGGTGTTCAAGATTGTAATCTAATGTAAGCACTAGTCATTCATTGAGCCTCTCCAACGATGCTTAATGAAAATATGGTCCATTTGTGCCTATTGTTACGCTGGTGTTGGCAGGCGCCAGGTTAGAAACCGGCTTTCCTCATGCCTTCAAGTTTGCACTTGCTAAGAATAATCGGTCGTCTGAGCGACATTGCAACAGACGGTCACTGTTATCTGTTCGTCAGGATGTGACACCGTACGACCCGACTAAGTGTTTTCTAGTTTAACTTATTCGACCTATTCGAGCTCTTAAATCCCCTACTCAGTCAGTCAGTCAGTCAGTAACAACGTAGAACTTCGTCCGTACGTACATCAGTTCGAGTTGCCATACCACATTAGCACAGAGATGCAGTGGTCGATTCGAATCCTAAATCCCCTACTACGTCTATGCTTCTGGCTTTCCGGAAGAGATCATGAAGTTCCCTGTAAAACTTGTTATTTACTCAACCTGAGCTGCATTTAGTAGAGGCATGAACAGAAACGACGGAAAGGTGTGTCGAAACCTTTCTCCATTTTTAATGCACAATTGAGACGGACAACACAAGAGACTTTCGACAGTAATCTAGTCGAGAAGCGCCTATCCTGTCTTCATACTTGGTGCTATACCTACAGAGGCATGACCAAGACAAGTCGGTCGCGTCTCCAGATACACGAAAGGTAAGTTTCGTTGGATCATTATGTCGACTAATTAAGGTTGAGTGAATGAACATGCTGGGATTCTATATACATGCTTCTAGAACCCGGTATATATTAATAGCACGAGAATCTACAGTCACGGTTAGTGACTTTAGTTGTCCGATTCGATACAAGGTTCAGGCATTACAAGCTCTTGTACATAATTTGAGACGAAGCTTCAGGAAATCGGTGGTAACATTTTGTGACAGTTAGTATTGGTAGCGTATGTTGAAGTCGAAGACATGAAGGTTGATAGTAGAAGCAGGGGCAATATTTGATAGTGGGGTTTGGTCATAAACGAGGTGCTCTTGTGAGTTGTAAGAGTCCACACTGGAATTGTAACTATCATATTCAATAAGCATTAACATAAAGCTTGTGAACATGTTATTGTTGCTCTTACTAACATTAACATGGGAACAACAATATTACTATGTATTCACAATAGGTAGGAAACATAAGTAATAGTAGAATTATTAAAAATGAATGCCTAGCAAATTACACAAAATAAAATATTTAGTGACGCACATAAATGCCGCAACGTTGCCCTTACAACGATCACTGCTTTCTTGGAATGAATCAATATTTATAGGACATGAGAAACATTTGCTGAGACAACGCAACGCTTCATCTTTCACTTCATGAGCAACCTAAATTAATAAAATCGAAAACAATTGTTCAAAGAATGCTATATCAAGATACAATCAAACTCCGTAAGATTAATTTTATTGAGTAAATAACGCTAGAATATTTTAATGCACAGCTTTCAAGTGGTCTGAAAAAGTAAACGCTATTTTGCAGTCAAAATTACATTACTAACACTGCTACTAAGTACTTATGCAAATGTAGTAGAACGTTTTGGGAAGACGAACACCTAAACACCGTAAGTTACGCACCTAACTCCATGTTAAAAAGACGTAAGATGGTGACGATTTGAATGGCATACCTTGGGTATTTAAACGAACAAGTAGTCCTGTAAACTGGTCTCAAACTATAAATCGACTTGTTATGCGCAAAGGATTTTCAAGGAGTGACATAAATGAACTAATATGCGCTACACATTCAATGTAATATTTGATGAACTATGCAAAGTCTGCGCACACCAATAACACTTATAAAAATACAAACAACCACTACTACGTGGACGACTGTCACTAGCAGTAGATCTCCAGGTCACGTTACAATGCTAGATGAGAATTCTAGGTAATTTATAGTCACCATGAAACCTATATGGGTCAGAAATTAAATACAAGTTTTAGAAACCATTAGTTGTCACTAAGCACAAGTAATACACCACAAACTTTATTATCTAGGGGATCAAGGACTACCCACAAGGTTGTTATTACGGTTATTACAGATATTACGCGGAATATTTAAAAGTGAATATTTCAAATGAACAAAAGTCAACCACACACGTACCAAACAGGTCATTTTGAAAGTGAAAACTAAGTTATTTTAGGTTTTAGAACAACAACAAGTGACATTACCTTTAGTGGAACTCTTCCTGCAACAAGAGAATAACCACTGACTTTCTCAACGGTTCCTGAATTTAACAAACAAATGGGAGAAAGTGGCTCTTTTAAAGGTGAAATCAGTACTTTGACAATCCCTCCACCTAATGGATGAAACCCTCTGTCTTCATAAACAAAGATTAATAAGCACTCACCGTCGAATGACTTTTACTTCACAAACCAAACCCATTTTTCTAAAGTAATGTGATGTTACCTGTCAAACTTTAGTCTTTGTATTTTTATAAGTTACCTCAATCATATAGTTGATTGGAGGTGCAAACAATGTATCTGTACCACCACGCAACAACAGTTCACTCTGATTGGAAGCAAACGCTAACACTGGCGCTACAGCTTGTAGCATCAGTGAGACTGACCTTACATAAAGCTTGTAAATAGTTTTACTGACATACCCTGCCGTCTTAGCATCAGCTTCATACGAACCGGGAGAAATCTGACTAGGTATTAACCGAATTTCCGTAGATCCAATTGCACACGACGATAAATGACCACAACACACTCTACTAGCGAGTTCGAGAGCAGCTGCGTGTTGACTTCTGGGAACGAAATCTACCATTAACAAAAATAACCACCTGAGACCTGGATTCTGTCGACCAGCTCGAATATTACACACCTCGATGGGTCTTTTCGTTATCACTGCTATCGAGACAGCGTTACGTAGGATTTGACCACCCTATGCGAACATGATTTTTGGACTTTAAATTTACATACACTCTCCAACACAGATCCATCAACCAAGGTTACGTGGGAGCTATCCAAATCACCCATCACACTTGAAAACAAACCTATGAATTTCGGTCTTAAGCACTTTGCGTCTAGACTGATGGCACTTTGTGTGTTGGGAGATACTGTAGACCAGCGTGTGTGAGGAAAGCTGAAAAAAGAGGAAGTAAGCCGAAGGATCTGGGGGCAAATAGCATGCACTTACATTTAAGAATGAAAGCAGTTAGTAGAAGTCAGTAACAGCAACTACAACAACCCGATATACACGCGCCGTATCGTGAGATTTCGAATTTGTAGGAAACTAATGTTCAGTCTTCAGTCATAAGGATAGTAGGTTGATGAACCTGTGTTAATCCTGACACATTGCTTTCCAGTGAAGGTCCAGCTTTTCCTTGAAAGTATTCACTGATGGGGCTGATACCACTTGTTCGGGTAAGGCGTTCCAATGATTGACTACTCGATGAGAAAAACGGGATCCCACTTTAAGTTTATTAGATCGTGGTTTATGAACCTTCTTGCTATGACCTCGGAGATTATTAGTGCTGGAGGGAGCAAAAAGATAAGACATATTAACACCCAAGTCATAATTAAAGATACGAAATGCCAGTATAAGGTCACCTCGTGTCCTACGATACGACAAGGGGAAAAGATTTAGGCGTTTTAAGCGCTCATCGTAAGGGAGACTAGAAAGACCCTTCACTAATTTCGTTCCCACACGCTGGACACGCTCAAGGGAGTTAGTATCCTTTACTAGACACGGGCTAGCTGCTTGGATACAGTACTCTAAATGTGGTCTAACATATATGGGGTATAAAATTCGAAACGTTTCCTCGTCAAAAGATTTGAACGCTCGGCGAAGTGACCATAACGCACGAAAACCTTTGAAAGCTGCTACGTAGCTGTGCGTAGTTGTTTTAAAGTCGTGACTTATTGTTCCCCATAAGTATTTATGTTCCTGAACGCATGGAGATGTACCGTTGATAGTATACTGGTGACTGTCGCCGTGTCCGATATTCATGAGCACACTCTAATAATAGTTTCTAAGCTCCCACATTGAGACCGTCTAACTATTTCGTCTGGGTCGGCGTAGAGACCAAGAAGACCAGCCTCTCTATCTACTGTTCTCCAGATTTCCACATCATCCTCGAACAATAATGTGGACGATCTAAGCATTTATGGTAATTCGTTGACGTAGAGGAGATATAGGGAACCTAAGATTCCTTAGGGTAAACCATTTTCGACCGGCTTCCATTTAGATAGTGTCCTATTCACCCTCATTGTCCGTCTTCAGCCACACAAGAAGTTTCTTATCCATTCTCACACGACACCTGTCATTCCGAAGCTCGAGAGCTCCTGCATAAGACCTAAGTGTGAAACCTTGTCAAACGCCTTGCTAAAGTCTATAAATACCATATTGACAGACGGGTCGTTACCTAGGGCTGCTGTCTAATCCTCTCTTGCAACAACTAAGCTGGTCAAGCATGAATGCTTGTTCCAAAACCCATGTTGCTCGGGAGTTTACAGATTGTACGAATCTATATGACTCAGTAACTTAAGCCGAATTATCTTTTCAATTAACTTAACTACTATACTGGTTAGACTGACGGGTCGGAAGTTAGATACGATCTGTCTCTGACCATTTTAAATATCGGACCAACCATAGCATCTTTCCAGTCACTAGGGCGTTGGGTGTGGGGAGGGGACATGTTGACATAATGTCTCAGAGATGACAGCAGTTGCGTATGTAACCCACAAGAGCCAGGTATCTTACCACGTTTAAGATTAATGGTCAATTGGAGAACAGTTTCCCTAGTCATATGTTCAGGTCCTATAGCTTATATCTCAGTGGTGTGATTACGACAAGTATCGTTAACAATACCCGAAGAATATGCCTTTCCGAAATAGTTTGATAAGGTCTCAGATCTGGCCAGATCTGATTCAGCAAGTATGTATGAACTTTCGTGCAACAGTAATGAAGAGACACAAACACTAGAGTTTTTCTCCGTTTAGTGTACAAAACAACCTTTTCGAGCAAGCACGGCTATCATACACCAAAGGTCTTTCTTAAGTGGTGCGGTATATAGCTATAGTGTTTTTACATATATTGCGGATCTTTTGGTATTTACACTTAATTGATTCGTGGCCTGTCTACAAGTCCCAGAGGTGTTTTCTACGCTTTAACAGCTTCCAGATTTCCTTTTAGTGGCTCTGTACTTGACTCCAGGTAGATTGTACGAAATATACATATCATCAATCCTCGTATAAAATTAGATCGCGTTAGTGAAAAATGGAATTAAATAAGCCAAATACGAGGATGGATTTTGAATAGGTGCATTTCATACAATCATTGATCCAGACAAACGATTGAAGAAACGAAACCAGGCCAGATGACGCGCAGTGGAGAAAGTGTATGAGACAACTCCATTTAACCAAGCGTTAATCAATATTTATAGCCACGCAAAAATAAAATACAGACATGTGGTGATTAGGATAAGAAGTGTACACACAAATACGTTCATATAAAAACAGTCAGGGTTGATAAGTGAATTAATAACAAGGCCAAAATGTGACTCAAGAAAAATGGATAAATTGACCCGTCCGGAAGCTAGAATGAGTTATGTGGGCTTAACATAATGACCGACACTACATCCTTTTTAATCCATGGAAGGTAGTGTTATAACTTATGTGTTGACCATGGGATGTACGGTGATGTTACGGACTCCAACGTGGGCTTAGATCTATTCCATTCGTCCTCGATCTATCTATCTGCAATAACCGACCAGTCTGATGAGACAGCACGGCCTCTGGTTACCAGAATGTTAGCTCACTAGTTAGTGGGATGGGGGTGAAGCAGATACGTATTTCATGCCATGTGTCCGAAACCTAAAGTAAAGTAGAGTGTGATCACCATCTGCTGGTGGTGGAAGGTGCTGAATGTCGATGACATCGTTACAGTAGTGTCCAGCAATGATGATTCACGTTTCAAGTCAATGTATGTCGGTTTTGTGATACATTGAATAAGTGAGCATAGAATAATGAAAAATAGGAGGTAAATACTGAGAAATCCACCAAGAAATATGAGCTCTATCCAGTTGACATGTGGTGCGTTAAAATCTTCAAGGACAGGACAAAATTCGGCCATACTCCAAGAACAGATATGAGTGAAGACAAAGTCATAAGCAACCCATTCACACAACAAAGGAGAAACAAAGGCGAACAAAGGGGAAAATGCGTTGGAAAATAAAGAGGAAATAAAAGGAAAATAAAGGGGAAACTTTCCAAAATGTCTGCTTTTTCGCCTGTCAGGAGGAAATAATGCGGATTTCCCAATTTTGTCGCTCTGTCGCCCAAATGTCGCTGAATTGTCCACTTTTCGCCTGCATATCCGCTGAATTGTCTAATTTTCGTCTAAATATCCTCTGACTTGTTTACTTTTCGCCTGAATATACACAATTTTACAAACGAAGAATATTCTTTTCAATAAGTTCTCATCACGTTCTACAGTTAAAAATCCAAATTAATAGTCCATATAATTGGCCAGATTTATGGCAAAGTACATCATTTGGAAATTGTAATATGTGAATTGAGAATTCTTACATGGACAAGATGAATAACATCCTGAATGTTACTCGAAAATTTCAGAAACTGAATAGCCAAAAATTTGTCAATAATAAGATAGAGAATGAACTGACCAGATTTTTAAAAAAGCTCAGAGATCAACAGATGATTCCAACAGACATATACGAAACAATCAAGCCGATAGGTACGCATTTACCTAGGTTATACGGACTGCCGAAGATACATAAACCGGATATCCCATTAAGGCCAATTTTGGACATGTATGATTCCCCAAATCATACTGTAGCAAGGTGGTTAGTAACCGTTTTGAAACCACTCCATAAACGCCTGGTGAAACATAATATTAAGGGTGTATTCCAATTCCTTGACAAGATTAAAAACGTAAACACGAAAGATCAAACGATGATGTCCTTAGACGTAGCATCATTGTTCACAAATGTCCCACTCAGAGAAACTGTAGAATATATTTGTGAACAAATTATAGAACAGGAACTGGAAACGACAATCCCTGTGGAGATCATCAAAGAATTATTACTAAAATGTACTATTAGTGTACATTCCAAATTCACTGGTGAAATCTACAAAGAAATAGATGGTGTCGCGATGGGTTCACCTCTAGGTCCCATACTAGCAGACATCTTCCTCCCTAAATTAGAAAACAGCCCACTAACACAAGAGATCGATAGGTTTTCACTTTACTGCCGATATATGGATGATACATTTATCCTTTGCAACAACCAGACGGACATCCTAGAAACACTCGAGCGTTTCAACACAGTTCACCCTTCCATATAAAATCACATGAGAGAAAGAAAATGGGGGTAGAATAGCCTTTCTAGATGTCCTAATTACAAGGAGGAAGGACGGGTCGCTAAAAAGAAACATAAACAGGAAGATTACCTGGACGGGTCAATATACAAACTTTCTCAGTTTTGTCCCTCTACAACACAAAAGGAATCTTATTAAGACACTGCATCATAGAATCAAGACTGTATGCTCTGTGGATACGATTGAAGATGAAACAAAGTCATTATACATAACCGTGAAGGAATATGGTATAATGTTTCGAATTATTTGAATTGTATTATGAACTAGGAATCCCAGAAATAACGCAATTGAATCAAGAAGTACTAGATGAGCACAAACGAATGTACTGTATTTAGAATTCGAAATCAAGCATTCAACCAGTACAAAGGTATCATTAGTTCATTCGAACACCACATCCGCCACTGCTTAAATAGGAGTATAAGTGTCTGTAATCGGTTGTACGTCTTCTTCTTAAGTTCATCCTGGGTCTGTCCGACATTGTATTGGATAAAAACTCGGTATTATCTAGAATGTGCTCATTAGTATTGGAATGAACAACCGAAATCGGAACAGACTGACCTGGAATTGTATACACTAAGCATGTCGGTTTTGTACTGAAATCTTTAATATCTAGAAGCTGGACCATAGATTTTTCAACA